GACAACAACATAACAATACCGGAAGCAGCGATCTCACCCCCATAAGAGTCCTTACTTCCTCTCAGTGTACTATATGCAAACTTACATTCAGAAGTCAGAACCCTAGGCAGATAGCACAGAAATATTACATGTATACAAAAATCAGAATGTATAACCATGACTGAAACTTAACAATTATGACATTTAATAAAACATTTAATAAAGTGTATTGTTTATATTAATATTTATTTGATAATGTAGAACTTTTATATTTGAACATATACTGTATAAAAGTTTATATCCATTGTATGTGCATGCTAAAACAATTAATTTATATTAGTAATTTGCACCTATGATTAAATTTACTTTGTGGTGGACTAAAATATTTTTTATTGCATGAACGGTCCAGCAAGTCTAGTTTAGGTTTTGACCATTTCTCAATATTTTTTATTTTTTAAACGAACCTGTCTCATAAATTTTTAATTTTAAATGTCATTTTTGAGTCCAGCCTATGTACAGTACACTACCGAGTTTAGAGTCAGACTTTTTTTTTTTATTCAGCAAGTTCAAATTAAATTGATCAAAAGTGACACTAAAGACTTTATACTGTTATGACGGATTTGCTGTTTCAGCTTTGCCATCACAGGAATAAATTAAATGTTTAACAATATTTAAATTAAACTGTTATTTTAAATTGGAATATTGTACAATATTGTTCTTTTAACTGTATTTTTGATCAAATAAATGCAGCCTTGATGAGCATAAGAGACTTCTTTTAAACAAAAGCATTTAAAAAAAATGTGTCCCTATATCCAAGCCTATATCCCTATACCTTTTTTAATATCCTTTTTGAACATAAGATGTAGTGTCCTGGAGATAATCATGACTGTATGGTGTGTCATTTCAGCACCAGAGATGGGACCAGACTTCTGGCGCATCATACAAGAGGATCCTGTTAGGAGTGTGACAAACGTCACACTTATTATTAAGGTTGGTAAAGACTGACTTGATTGATTAACTCTAGCAACAAAATGAATGTGACATAAAAAGTTTGAGCTTGAATGTTTTTTGTCACTTTTAGCAGCCCGTCTTAGCAGGAGATCCATATAGTTGCGTGGAGGGTCTGCTGTTTGAACACCAGGCCTCAGGCAGAGCCGTGTGGTCAAATGAAACAACCTTGGTTCAGTTTCACTTATTCCAGTGGAGGAAGGAAGTGCACACAGTCACTGTAATGTCACGCAACGCTTTAGGCATCTCTACACGGAATAGAAACATCACGTTGTTGCATCAACCCAAACGTGAGCTGACTTGCTTCATACCCTTCCTGTAACATCACGCAAAAATCTTTCATGTAGTCTAATGTTTCAGTTGTTTTTGTTTGACACACAAGAAGATTTGTTTGCCTTCAAACTAAATATGTGTCTATGTATGTGCTTATTGCTGGTGTTTTATTTCATCCAGTCCTAATTTTTCTGGGTAATTGTTTTGATAGAAGCTTGGTGTTGTTTGTTTGGTGAAAGGGTTGCTGGGGAGAGAGATTTGATTTAGTTATTACATATATACAATGAAAGATAATCATAACAATAAGGTACTCTGATATTTTGCTCCTGCTTGCTATTATTTACTTTTGCATCCTAAGTGTTTTTCACATAGAAATTATGTATATTCCCCTATTTACATGAATTAATGTCCTTCTTTCCTTTTCTAGGACGTGTCGTACGTTCATTCAGCGTAGTTGCAAATGCTAGCTGTGTGTATCTTTCCTGGAGCCTGTTATCTGATCATCCAGTGCCTCAGTCATTTGTCATCGAATGGTTAGACCTGAACAAAGACCCTGAACAGGACATGTCTCTCACTGAGAGGCTGCAGTGGGTCAGAGTTCAGTCCACATCGAGAGATCTCTCCCTTTGCCGTATGTTATTTTGCTTGATATTCTTCATATATTCCTCACATTTGCATATCAGCATGTGATAAAAATAAAAAGTTTATCCTTAGCAGTATAAATGATCTTTGACAGCGTAATTTGTTTTTGTACAGGCCGTTTTTATGGCACAGAAGAGTTCACCTTGTATCCAGTGTTTGTGGATGGTGAAGGGGAGCCGGTGCGATACGCTGGTGGGTTTTACAGCAGTGACTTCAACTAATGCATTGACGTCATCATGTGATCAGTTAAACCCCTGAAGACATTTTTATGTGCATTTAGTGCTTGGCAACTGGACTCTCGTTTACAAACATTGCAGTATTAACTAGACATTTTTTTCACAACTAAGAACACATTATATAAATAGCTCTCTAAAATTTTTAGAAAATGTATGACAATCATGTTCATTTGATAGAAAAAAAGTGTTTCTCTTTTGTTTTGCCATCCAGCTACTAGGGGCGACCCAGCAGCGTACATACTCCTACTGATCATTGCGTTCCTGTCAGTGGTGCTGTTTGTCACACTTCTGATGTCACAAAACCAGTAAGACCTACAACTATCTTCTTACAGTCAAAATAAGTAAGCAATAAGGTACGAGAGGCTGTGCTGTATTGTGAATAAGTCACGACTGAAGGTCCTTGTTAGGCACGACACGAAGTGGAGTGCCTACAACCCCTTCAGCCATCATTTCTTCACAATACAGCACGCCTTGAGTACCTTATTGCTTTTATAAAACGGTTACCACACAATAAAAAATATTAAAACCAAAAATATATGTATTGATATGTTACTTTTTTGAAGTTCGTTAAATGCTGTCCTTCCACAAAAAAAATAGTTCCTTACAGCAACAGTAAATGGCAAGAGAATGTTCCGATGTTACATGCATCATCTTATGGAGCTCAAATAAAAACTTCTGTCATTTTTTTTTTAACACCATATATGATATTTTCTCACACATATACATCTGCATATCTCTCAGCATGAGAAAATGTTTCTTTGACAGGGAAGGGCGTGGTCTCAAAATGAAAGATGAATGATGCAAAATAACGCCAGCAGGGGTCACTCATACTTCATTAAATAAATAACAAACAGTAATTATGTTGAAATGCATAATACATGGAATAGTTTTGACACTGTATTATTGATTGTTCATGTTGCTAAGGGTGTTGCGCAGTGATACACAGAATCGTTTGGTGAAGCAGTCATAGCCCTGCTTTATCGTGAATAAAACATAGCTGCTGACCAATCAGAATCAAGGACTGAAACTAACCGTTTTATAAAGATAATTACAGTATCATTATGTTTTGTCTGTGACCCCTAGAGGGCCCAGTGAGGTACTGCATGGGTCTGCTGACTGATTTTTGAAATAGATTTTTGTGAAAAGATTAAAATAAGCATGAAACCAAACATTTTTTAATGTTTAAAACTGTTCTTTAAAGCTAAATGGTTTGTTCACGTTTAAAATCACTTAAACTAAAATTGTAACATGCAAATATATGACTCAATTATAAGTATTTTAATTGCTTTACAATGTAACTATCATGGCAAAATATGTAAATGCATAAATACAACAACGTAACCATGTTATTATATCCCGGGCTTTAAAGGTGGGGTAAGCGATTTCTGGTAGCCAATGTTGACATTTGAAA